GCCGGTCCCTGCCGGTTCGCTGGGCAGCACGGGTGCAGCCGGGCAGGCCTCCGCACCCAGCGGCTGCCGCCCCTTAGTCACCGGGGCTGGCGCCGGCAGGGAGCCGAGGAACTGCGGGGAGGAGGGGGATCTAGCTTGGGATCTGCCGCGGGGATGGACGCCTCCAGGAGGCAGAAGGCGTCGTGTAGCAGCATGAAGCAAAACCTCCACGTCTCCGTGATCCCTGCGGCTCCCTGCTTGTGCCTTCCCCATCCCCATTTCTGACCAGTAAACGCTTCCTTCCGAGTCAGTCCTGCCCTTCCTCTGCCCGCAGGAGCAGCAAAGAGCTGCTGTTGCAGCCGGTGATCATCAGCAGGAACGAGAAGGAGAAGGTCCTCATCGAGGGCTCCATCAACTCCGTGCGCGTCAGCATCGCGGTGAAGCAGGTGAGGTGGGGGGTGCGGGCAGCGGGCTAGCAGCTCACGCCTGGCGCGGGGGAAGCCTCACTTCCCTTTCCTCTCTGCAGGCCGATGAGATCGAGAAGATCTTGTGCCACAAATTCATGCGCTTCATGATGATGAGGGCTGAGAACTTCTTCATCCTGCGCAGGAAGCCCGTGGAGGTGAGGTGACAGGGAGGGGGCAGAGCAGTTCCCGGCTCCGCTCCTGGCACCGGCTGGGGGGATGCGAGGTCGCGTGGTCGGTGGCCTGGGTGGTCATCCCCAGGGCGCTTCTCTCTTCCCCAGGGCTACGACATCAGCTTCTTGATCACAAACTTCCACACGGAGCAGATGTACAAGCACAAGCTGGTGGACTTTGTCATCCACTTCATGGAGGAGATTGACAAGGAGATCAGCGAGATGAAGCTCTCTGTCAACGCCAGGGCCCGCATCGTGGCAGAGGAGTTCCTCAAGAACGTGAGGCTCTGAACTGGAAGGAGATGGGTCCCTTATTTTGGGAGCGGGGTGGGGGCTCCAACCCGCCATGGCCCTCGTGCCTAGAGCCCCCCTGTCCCGTCTGTGGGGACGGTTGGGGTGCTCTGCCCAGGGAACCTCTTGGGGATGGAGGGGAGGATGCCTGGGGGAGCTCGCACCCCCTTTGCTCATGAAGTGCCAGCTTTGAGACCCCCAGAGCGCACTCGGGGGGTGGGCAGCGGCCGGGGGGACGTGGCCCTTTCAGTGGCTGCTGCGATGGGACGCGCGGTCCCCGGGCGAGGCAGCGGGAAAAGCTGAGCATGGAGCTCCGTGAGCGGCGGCTGCCGCCCCCCGCCCCCCCCCCCCCCCCCCGGCGGGGGGGCGGGGCCGCCGGGCCGGGGTTGCGGTCGTGTGGCGGCATGGGGGGGCGGGGGGGGCGGTT